GGATCAGTGCCCAAGCCCCATCCCCGGCCTGGCCCCGTCTCCAAGCCCCGGCCCCGGCCCCGCCCCGGTTTGTCCCCGAAATAAAATTACCATTTTACCTCTCTCTCTCTCTCTCTCTCTATATATATATATATATATATATAAAACTAAACCCTAAAACATTACACAATGACCACCGCTTCTCTCCATCTTCTCTCTCGGTTTCTCTCTTCCCCCTCTCTTTTTCTCTCTCTATATTCTCTCCCGGTTTCTCTCTTCTCTCTCTCTTTTTCAGTTGATCGAGCAGTAGCGATATTAAATGAACGGTGTCGCAGTCTCCGATTGTGTACAGGGGAAAGCAGTTGGCGTCGGAGGCGGCGTACGTGACGAAGCGCCTCCTCAAGAGCATCGGCGTCGGACGGTGTCGCAGTTGTTGATCACCGATCGTTCACTCTCTCTCTCTGTCTGTGACATAGATACACAGATCTATATGTGTGTGTATCTGTCCATTTTTTTTCTTCACCGTTTGTTGATGATGTCGATCGTCCTCTCTCTCTCTCTCTCTCTCTGTCTCTCTCTCTCTGTGACACAGATCTCAGATTTGTTTGTGTATGTATCTATAAATGTATGTCTGTGTGTATCTGTTCTTTTTTTTTTTTGGTTTATGATCTATTGATGATTTTGTTGATATTGATGATTCTGTTAATGATGTTGATGATGATGATTCTGTTGTTGTTGTTGTTGATGATGATGGTAGTGTTGAAACAAATTTGGGGGACGGGAAATTTTCGAGGTCGGGGAAATCCGATCCCCGTTAGGGGGCGGGCGTGGGGACGACGGTGGGTTCCCCATCGGGGATCGGGGTCGGGGAGATTTTCACAATCGAAGATCGAGGATCAGGGATCGGGGATGAGGAGTGTAATCCCCAGCCCCGCCCCGGCCTGTCGCCATTCTTACTTGTACAGGGAAGCAGCACACCCCATACATAACCATTCCCAACCATTACCAACTAGTTAATCATAGAGCTTTTTTTTTTTTTTCAAAGGAAATTCAAAAACAAAGAGTAGCTATTACATCAAAGGAAATTCAATCATAAAGTATTTGAAAAAGTATAATATCTTCCTACATGCTTTGTGCTTCATATTAAAAAATTTAGTGTCATTACTTGCCTTGGATCTATGCAAAATTAATTATATTCGACAACCAATGAGTGATTTATATATTTCATAGGATCTACTAAAATATACACGTGTTTTAGGAATTTAAAGTTTTTTTTTGGATAAATTATATAGATAGTCCTCATAATTTAGATGATATGTCAATTTGGTCTCTATTATTTTAATGGGCAAATTACCAATATCTCCCTCGAGGTTTGACTAAAATACGAATTCCCTTTTGAGGTTTGGGAAATTACAAATTGCCCCCTGAGATTATATTTGTATAACAAATGAGGGAGCAATTTATTATGCAAATATAAACCTCAGGGGTTAAAATCGAGTAAATTAAAATAATAAAGGCCAAATTGACACATTGTGTAAATTATAAGGACTAAATTGACACATCGTTTGAGCACATGATGATTTTCCGTCCACCAAACTTAATGACCGTTATTTATTGAACAAATATGACACAATCTGTTAAATTAAGGGGCAAAATCAGGCAAATTAAAACAATAGGAACCAAATTGACATCGTGTAAGCTACAGGGACCATTTACATAATTTATCTAATTTTTTTTATTTTATTTTTAAGAATGAAATTTTTTTTACAAAAAATATTAAGAGATCAATTCCTATTAATAGTTGTCACTTAAAAATTTTTGAAAAGTAAAAAAAAAAAAAAAAAAAAAGTGATAAAATTTTAAGAATGTCATCAATAAATATATTTTGAGGACAAACAATTTCATACCAAAAGACAACAATTTAAAAATAATATTCAGTATGTTTGGTTTGAGTTTTTTGAATTAAGTTTTTTAAAAATTGAGTTTTTTGATTTTCATGTTTTTTTGTTTTTCGTGAATATTTTTAAAATTTTAAACATTTTTTTTACTTTTTAGATGCACCTTACTTAGATGTATCTAAAAAGTAAAAAATT